GAGGACTACGACGACATCGGAGGTGAAGCCGAAAACGAGGGTGAAGAGGACTACGACGATGTGGGTTAAGAGGACGAGACAACAGGAGAGAGATTAATTAACGAAAGACACTTTTGACTCTCATATCTGGATCCTGCTGAGCAGAGAGATCAGAACGAAGTTACTGTTTAGTTTTTGATATTATTCATAAAAAATAAAAAGTTATCTGTATTTTATGTGTATTTTTGAGAACACAGAAAAGCACTGAAGAGGCGGAAAATGTAAGTGGTCAGACAATAGGGGACAGAAAGGTTTGATTCTTATAACTTTGAACAACATTACAGGCTTCAAACTGTTTATTTAAAGTTATTTAAGTGGTCGTTCTGAACAATCAACTTGCAGTTATTTGACATATCTTTCATAGTTTCAATATTGGTTAATTATTGACAACATGTACGACTAACTGATCAGACAGAGGTTATCAAAAATAATATAATTATCCTTTTTGTGTTTCTGATTTAAAGCCTAATATTTAAATCTGAATAACTATTTGGATTTTTTGTTGAATACCATTTAAAGAAGTAACTTTATATTGTTTAAAATATTAGAATTATTATTTGCTTTTGTGATGGGAGTTACTTAAGAATATTGATACCACTTTGACATGTTTGTGCTAAATATGAAGTTATTGAGACAGGAGGCGCTTAGCTTAGTTTAGCTTAGCTTAGCTTAGCTTAGCTTATCAAAAAGAGGGAAACATGTTAATTGTAATTCTTTAATCCATCCAAAAAACAGAGATATAAAAGAGGATTTTCAACCTTGAGATTCTTATTTTTCATTATTTAAAATATATAAATTTCCTCTGTGCTCCATTGTTGTCCATTTTGGTTAAAAGCACATCACACATGTTGCAATGAATGACAAGTTCCTTCTTTACAACTAACAGCTAAGTGCTGTCGATTATTTTGACTCCTGTGTTTTAATCTGCCATTGAAAATGATCCCCAATAAATGCACAACTGTTTGAGTACCGTTTGTTGAAAACTACAGTGCCTTTTTTAATATTAATCTATATTTTTGTGACACGTATTTTAAAAATGTGCATCTTCTGCTCACCTCACAGTATATTTACAAAAATACACATCATAACAAACTGTCCACAGTATTCCCTAAAGTTTAAAAAAATGTAAACTAGCATGCATTCTTACATTTTAACTTCTCTCCCTGGAATTCGACCGATCCAAAAAGTTTGCATTTAGCGTTTGGTGAATGCCAGAACACTGTTTAAAACATGTCGGTGCTCAAAAACAACACTTTCAATATCTTTCAACTAATATATGCTCCACCCTCGGGTGTAATTAGACCCATATGATTGTCTTTCAGCCTCTTGTTCCCTGTAGTTGGTCAAATTTCCCAGAAGATTATTTTAATATTAGTTTAGCAGTTCTTTAAACCTTGTGAGTATCAGAATTGTTTGTGCCTTAAAAATATTAAAGCTAATAAATTATGCAAAAGGATTGATCAATAAAGTGTTTTATTTTATCACTGGACAGGAAGGCGATAGAAAGCTGTCATCTGCGAAGAAACTAAAGTAGATAAATGTAATGGAGTAAAAGTAAAATATTATTACATAAGCAAGTAACATTAAATAGAAATACTTGAGTAAAGTATACGTACTTTGTCACTTGACAACATAAACCGTCTTTAAACATATTGATTGATTTAAAAGTTCACGTCTGAGACTCATTTCCTCAATTCTATAATAAAGAACGAGCACTTTTCTGCTGAATCCAGAGTTTTATAATCTGACCACTGTTTGGTAACAACTGTATCAACAGTCAGCAGAAGTCTCCTGCTGCCAACATACAGTAAGAAACCAAACAACAGTTCACTTCCTGACTGCTCAGTCAAACGAGCTGTCAACGGCAGAAGTGTGGGAACTTAAAATAACATGTTTTTACTGTGTTTTTATGGTTTGTGCTATATTTTAATTGTTGTATTTAAATGGACTTTATGAACTTTAACTCTCCTGTTAATAGAGCCACATTTAATTGAATGTTTCCTTAACATAGTCCACACATGTAAAAGTCATGCGATCAAACTCACACTTTTGTAAAAGTACAAAGGTCAAAAATATTCAGATTCCATCAACTGCAATTGTTGATAAATCATGAATTAATTATGGTAAACGATCAAGTCTGCAGCTGTAAATGTTAATGAGAAGAACTTTGACCCAGATGTGCTGATGAGTTAAAGTGGAATAGAAGTAGAAAGAAGTATAACGTGGAAATACTCAAGTACAAGTAGTTAAAAATTGTACTTGAGTATAGTTAAAATGAGTAAATCTCTTTCCCTGATCATTGGAGTAGCTTCAACATCATCCATCCATCATTATATTCTTCATTTTCATAGTGGTTTTCTTGGGGCCCCCTGGTGGCAGCAGGGCCCTCATCAGCCTCTCAGTCAGTTTGTACTCTATAATTAATGCCTACGTATCCAAATACTGGATTGAAAAAGGGGCAAAAATCAACTAAAAAAAAAAAGTAATTTGGTCTCCATTTATGAAAAAGCTCCGACAGTTTGGTGACCTAAATACATAATCTCTCACACACTGACCACATAATAACATCCTGTCAGGCACCAGTCTCTGCCTCTCTTGGCCCTGGGAAGTTTTAATGGATATAAGTGGGTTTGGATGCCTCAGTTTAGGATTAAGTGTGCTGATGACGCTCCAAAAAGATGATGCAGGAAACAAAAATGCACAGAGAAGAAGGTGAAAGTCAGAGAAATCTCGCCAAAAAAACCCCATTGCCTTCACTGAGGTTAAATAATGGTAAAATGTGACAGAAATTACTCATAATATGCACTCATAACTGTCTATACTCACTCTCAGCATGTGCTACTAAGATGCCGTTATCCACTGTGCAACTACTTGGTGGAACAATTAACAAACAATATAATAATTATTATTTCATAGCAATTATAAGCAGTTTATAAACATTTAATAAATGGGTTTTTAACACATTATAATGTGCTTGTAATCAGATATAAGAACACTTTAAGTGTATATTTATGTGCTGTAATTACTAACAATTATAACCTCTCGTATGAAGACATATTCTACTTTATAACAACTGTGTTTCATATTGTCATTCATTATCTGTTTATAATACAGGTAGAGGTTTGATTATTGACTACATTAATAAACACTTATATCTTCTTATAATGTGGTTATTATAAGGAGTGACCATGTTGTGAATGAATAGCTCTCTGCCTCTAAAACTGATAGTGAAGAAAAATCTGCAATTTTTCATGAGGACTTTAATTTTGAAACAATCTAAAACGGAAGTGTAGCTAGAACTAAAGCTGCTAGCTTGAAGCAGCGAAAAGCGACAGTTGGTTTTGGGGGGAAATTAACTAATATTAGCATAAAAATAAGTATTAGATATGATTAATATATGTGAGGACACAATACTGTTAGAAAATAGAGTGTAAAAGGAATATTGACACCTCAAACTTTTTATTTTATGTTGAAAATCTGCAACTTTATTTACACTATTACAGCGACAAATAACAAATATGTAAACTTTAATTCAATACAACGTTAAAATGACCCTAGTGAGAAATACAAATGTGCTTTCTATTACACTTATTTCCATGTCTTATCTGTTTTTATCTTATATTATTGTTGGGTATTTTATTTTTAATTGTCTGATTTTATTTCCCTCAATGTTGTCCTGAAATGTTTTTAACCTGGTTTAACCATCAAAGGCTTTGTTTAAAGTTAATTATTGACATTATTGTTCCCAAATTAGTTTGTGTTTTATTCACATTACCTAGGATTGCAGATAATTTCCTTATCGATTAATCTGCCAATTATTCATCTGTTAATCATTTTGTCAGCATAATAAAGTGTCCGAAAATATTGAAAACTGTCCAAAATCCAAAGAAATTCCTTTTCCAATCACATACAAGACAAACAGAAAAAGAGCAGCACATTCTTACAGCTTAACTGGAATGTTGGGGTCAAAATGTCAGTCGACTAATTGATTAATGAACTAACTGGTTTCAGCTCTAATTGCTGAGGTCACGTTTTGAAATCTGCACACAATGAAAGAAACAGGAGGTCAGTAGGGGCCCGTCTGACGGGTTAATCTGGCCATGTTCACGGTAATATTATGTTTGCATGTTTGACTGTTTGCTGGCTGTAAAGTGTTGTGTATACAGTTTTTAATATACTGTATAAACACTCATATCTCTTAATGGAGGGTTCCACCTATTATATCCAGATTACTCAAGTGTAAAGTGTAACCTGAAGTCCTCCTGTACACATTAAACATAATTTACTTGTATAATAGTCTTCTAAATTGTCACAATAATGGTGCTTCAAAGGTTTCTATGAGATGCACCGTGATGTAATATATAAAACATAATGATCAGAAAATACATGAAACAATGTAGTTCCTGTTTTTAGTTATGTTTGATGATACTAATGAAAGTGGTTATGTTAATAATCTGACTTTGCTCTCTGGGGATTGATAAAGATGTATCTTATCTTTGTGTACTTCCTTCCTCTTTTAAAATGTTTGATAAAACATTATCATATTAATAATCTTAACGGTTGTTTGAATTGTCTGCTGTCTTTTCTAATTTTAAAATTTCTTTGAGCTAGTTTTTGTTCTTTGTTTTTGTTTATTGATGGTTATAGTTTTCACATGTATTAATTTGTCTTGGTATTTTGGTGCATAACAATAAACATAGTGCGAGAAAAGAAAAAGAAAAAACAAGTAGCCAACAGCAATAATCATAAAAAGAAAATATAAATCATCAGGAAATAATATAGAAAAATAGGCAAAATATGTTTGTTTTTTAATTTTAAAAAAACGGTAAATAGTAGCATTATAAATAATAGGAAAATGTAGGCTACTTGAGAAACATGTAGAGAGCGAAAAAATGTGTTTTATTTTGAAGACGCTAACCGGAAATGTAGCGGTTGCCGGTTGGTCTCCGTTTTGACGCTGCCGCATGCGGTGCTGATCGCATCGCATTCCAATGTGAGCGAGATGTGAACCGCCGCGCGGACTTCACGTCTCCTTAAACCGTCCTCAGACGTTATTCTAAAGGGAATAAGGAATAAAAAATGTCCACCATGAAGGAGTCGAACACGTGTCCGGACGGTTACAGGGCATTGAGCACGTGCGAGCTGAGGGACCTTTTACAAAACGACGACAAAATGGACCAAATCCTTCGACTCAATGAAAAGGTAAATCCGCTCGACATGGCTCATCGATTGTCTGCGTGGCGAGTGGTCGGATTGCTCCGAATAATTTGCGGTGAATTAATAGTTGCTTGAAACACAAAGGGGTTTTATTTGTGTGGTCTGCATAAAGAGAGCGTTTTATTCCTGCACAATGCTTCTTATTGTGCAGGAAGCATCATGAACGAGCCCGCTATGTGCTTACGAAGAACCCCCTTTAAAAACATGCTGCATTAAGTGTTTCTTCCTCCGATAGAGGACCTGCACACGAGGTAGAAGATGTCTTAAATTTAAATTATACTGCTTAAGGTATACTCTTACATTCGGCATTACTTCAGTAGTTATAGCAAGACGTATTCTAATACAATTTCAACTTCTAAAACTGGTCATCCTCAGTCCTTAATTCTGAATAAAAGTGTAGTTCTACTGCAGCACGTTGCGTCTAGTGTGTATCTGATTAAAGCCGAATTGAGCAGTGTTCTCTTACCAATCGCAAGATATCTGAAGAAGAATGCTTTCATTGAGTATTAACATGGCTAAAAAAATGCAGGTTTTTAAATGAAATCCACGTGCATTCCTCTCCATGTCTGAGGCACGTTTCGGGGCCACATGATGACCTTCCTGTTGTATACTGAATCCTTCTATCTGTCTCAGACGAACACAAGGAGTACCAGTGGTTCCCCAAACTTTTCCATGGGCCCCATTTTGATTAGGTTTGCCTAGGAGGGGGTGCTCAAACAGAGGACAGAGCTGCATGTGTGTGTGGGAGTAACAACAGTGTGTGCGTGCAGTGAAACATGACCATCGTCATGCATGTTCTCACTGGGAGCTCACACATCTTCTCCCTTCATTTATCTGGACGTCAGAAAGCTAAGAAAAGCTCCTGTGATCACTGCTCAGAGAACACAAAAGGCAGACATTGCTCATGGGCTCCGGTTCTCCGGACGCCCAGGATGTGACATTTGAAACCTGCTGTGGCTGAGCGGGGATGTGATGTGATCTCACCGAGAGGTCACACAATACCCGAGCTTTAGGGGTTCGTTCTAGCAACTAATAATAGAGCGCTTGTGTTGGTTGCAGAGGACGTTTCTCCCCCAGTGATGTCATCTACTTCACTGTACATAGAGTACATCATACATGTATATTACATGTACTATAATGTACTGTATGTTCTCATGGCTCGCTGGTGTCATGTATCTCCTCTCCATATTCATTCATCTCATGTTGAATGAGCGTTATGTAAAGCGTGCGTTGTGATTCATGCGTGATTTGCTGAGCGTTCTGCATGTTCTCATTAATAATAACTTGAACACACAACAAGCTACAAGTCACTTCATAGTGTTTCAAGCTCCGATTCCTCGTTTTCTTTGATCAGATAGTTCCAGGTTTAAACCAAATGTACCATTTTGAGGCTTTGCTCAGTTCTTGTAAGGCTGCTTGTGTTGAGACAGCATTTAAAGGAATAGTTTGAGAAGGTTAGATAAGAACTGGATGCAGAGGGAAACAGCTCTGTCTTCTAAAGAACACACCAAACAAAAGCCAAAAATCGAACAACAATTATACTGTTTACAAGATTAATTTCTGATTCAGGCATGTAGCCAGAAAACAACTTAATGACCATCTGCATAACAAATTAATGCAAAACCTGCAACAACGAGCCGTAAACACAATATCTACATAATGTTGATGAACTTGTTGCCTATTTACACATCCAGCAGCTCCAGAGCAGCATTCGTCGTGTTTCTGTCCAATATTCACTCTTCTTCTGTGTGAAATGTGACTCTTCTGCTGCTACAGGCTCCACTAAGTTGAGGAGTTTATGTCGTTTAATGCTGAGCAGGTTGTGCAAAGATTCAGACACCTTTCACACATCTCATAGCTGTTTGATCAGATCAAAATATCGATCACAGCGAAAAGAGAGCGCTGTCCCGCAGGCCCATGAATAATTCCCTTTCATGGAAAAAGACTTGAGCCACCCGTCAATCTCCACCTCAGACCGAATGTTCACTTGATGGCCTCGGCCCGCAGGAGCCTGATGAAGCTGGAGCCTCGTTCGGGATGAGAGAGGAACTCTTTGGTGCGTTTCTTGTGGTCAGACGTGTTGAAACCACAGAAAGAGACGAGCCAAAAGCAGGAAGTGGAGCCGCCGTTCTGACCATTTAGAAGCCAGCGGGACCGATGATGGAGCTGTGCGTCCGTGTGTTCTTTCCTCTCGCTGGGGAACGTTTTTAAGAATGAACAGCTGTGTCGTAGTGTCTCCTTCACTGCACTCAGGCGGGCCTTTTCTTTTTTACTACATGGCACATTCTGCACATTCCTCTCTGAACTTGGGACTCGTGCATCCTTTTGATGACCCGTAAAATGTGAGACAGATGCACCGCGCAGCAGCGGACCGGCACGGCAACGGCCTTCGGGCTCTAAAGTGACTTGACTGTTGAAAGGGAAGCAATCGAGCAGGAACAGAAGCCGCAGGAATGCTGCGACTTGACGGGGCAGTCAGAGAGGATTCACACTCACAAAGTGTCTTTGTGTCGGCGTCTGAGACACAGGCGGGCTTCTTTACAGCTTCAAGGGAGTGGCATTCATTTGAATAATTTATAGCTGTCTTATGGTCTGGTGACGGCGATTACCCAGCCCCCCCCCCCCACACCACCATTTACTAGAAATGTCACCTTTGACCATAAATAACTTCCTTACTTCCTAGACCCAGTGTTTCCTCTTTTCCATTAAATATTACAGGCGTATTAAATGACAATGCCAGTATTTCAGTGGCGGTACTTAATTATAAGTACTAGTACAGCAGTATTACTCCATTACAAGTCCTGCATAAGTAGAAGTCCAGAAGTAGACCATAAGAAGCAAAATGCTCTTAAAGTACCAAGTGTTAAAGTACTCTATCTGCAGAAAGATGACCCCCTTAAAGAATATGTTATTCATACTTGTTGTTCGCCTTAGTTTTGACATTTCTGGCTCTCAAAATCATCATTCTCAAGCTCAACAACACAGATGCTCAGAGGATTTTATTCCAATATACTTTGATTTGATTTGTCAGACAAAAATAATTCCAGTTTTCAAAAGTGACCTACTTTTAAAAGTGTGAGCATGACAGGCGGCGGTTGATATGAGAGATACGGTGTCAGCTTCTACGGTTTGATGTCTCATGTTTGTTGGACTGCTGTAATAATATAAGGGGACAGGTGGGCTGAGGAGCGTCTGTCAGCGACTTCCTCTCGCGGGTGATTCAGGTTTGTGTGAACTCAAACTGTAGTGGGTCTGTTTCTGTATTGTGTTGAAACAAGAACCACTGCTACTGTCTTCCAGCAGTTTATTGCAAGGCACCAACATCACCCTCCTGCGACTGTAGAGACCCTAAACATCCGCAGGGTCTCTCCTGCATGAATGTCCTCTGCACGTCTATAACAACCACGAACAGTCCAGAGCTCGATATGACGTCTTCAAATGTCTTGTTTTGTCCGTTAAACGGTCCAAACAAAGAGATGTTCTAGTTCCAAGGATCTAAAGGAGAATAAATCAACAAGTCCTCACACATATTTGCTTGAAAAATTTGTTAAAACATTGATTCAATATCAAAATAGTTGCAAATGAGCTCTAATATAAAGCAAATATAGAATACTGAAAAGAAAAAATGCTAACTTAAGTACACACATAGTGTCAGATCAACACGGCCTAAATCACCTCTTATAACGCATTACCTTCTGTAGAAAAGTGTATGAATTCTATATTAAAACATATATTCCCCAAAAATTATATTAGCAGGATTGTGGTGTATGTATAGTGGAGTTAACACACATCCTTCAAAATAAAAGCCTAATCCACATATACGTAAGAAGGATTTATAACATCCTGTACATACTTTAGGGTAACACTGTTACACATGCGCGATAGACGAATCCGACACTCGTTGACTTTGTACTTCTGTTCAGTTCCAGGAGCTCCAAGTGGACCGGGAGACGCTGCAGACGACCAATCGGAGCCTAGCCGAGGACAGCCTCGCCCGGCGACCCCGCCTTTGCAACGGCAAACTCCAACTGGCGGAGAAATACCGGGAACTGTCCAACCTGGCAACCGCATGCTGGGAAAAACGGAGTCAGCTTGGTGAGTTTGAGGACGAGGTCACTGGTTGTGTAAATGTGGCCTTGCTAAGTGAAAGCTACATGTTTCTGTTCATAAATGACCGTAAACAGCTGACTATTGTCCTTATTTACTTAAACTTTTATCGGGGAAAAGGTTGCGTCCTGCTCACCACTTCAGGGTAAAACTCATCATGACGTTCCACACTGGCTCCTCGTCGTCTCACCTTGCAGTTGCAGTCAAACCGCCTCAACCGCACGCTTTATTTTGAAAACATTCAATCACTCTTGACTCGCTGTGACACTGTGGCGGGTGCTGAGAATAAGGGACGCCTCACATCAGAGTACGATGGGGAAAAACGCTTCAGAGCGTCAGCGAGAGTTTTTCAGTCATGGGAACGAAATGGAGCATATCAAAATGCCAGCAGGAAGCTTGCAGCAGTTGTCAAGGAATTTTCTGTGGTGAAAGAGGGGCCTTGTCTTTGTTCAGGGGGCAAGTCATGCTTTCTGACGGGGCAGCACCAGAGGATGTCTTCTTAAGCCTTTAGCCCTAAATTTTAAGCCTCTCGGGGGGGCAAGCTTTAGAAAATTCCTTCGTGTACAGAGCCGAGAGCAGGTGATAAAATAAATCCTGCTGCATTAATTACCAGAGGTAACGTCAACTGCTACTTCTTCATGACTGTTATGAGTGTGAGCTTCTTTGGCCCAGTTCTTGGTTCACTGTAGTGAAAAGACTTTGTGCCTCAGCTGCCGGCCGGTGATGGAAGTTGGGTGGAATGTTAAACTTCCTGTCGATGTGTGCGAGCATTACACAGATGCTTGTCCCACCTCCCCAGCAAAGCAGGATGGGTGGGGGTCCGTCCTTCCTTTTGCAAAGCATCTGATTCTCATTTGCTGCAACAAGGGAGGAGGAGAGGAGGAGGAGGGGAGGGGGGAACAAAAGAGATGAATGAGGAGGCGCAGCAGAGACAAACTGCGGAGTGGATCGGAGGAGACGTTGATCTGTGATCAGAGGTTGTTGTTGAGAGGTGAGTGTTTCCTCACCGTCTATAGTTACAGACAGCTTCTCACCACTATTATTAGCATCTATTTCCCTCTGGCTTCTTTCTGCTGCTAGCTGTGTTGCTAATCACCGGCACTGACGCAAAGGATAAAGATCCCTTCACACCAGGCGGCAACCTCCGGTTCTGACGAGTGAAGCCAAAGCTTCATGTCTTAAAGCTGCATTCTCTCTAGTGTCCACCAGAGGGCGACTCCTCTGGTTGTATAGAAGTCTATGAGAAAATGACTCTACTTCTCTCTTGATTTATTACCTCAGTAAACATTGTAAACATGAGTTTATGGTCTCAATCTCTAGTTTTAAGTCTTCTTCAATACAGCATGATGTTCATTTAGTACATTATGGTCCATTTAGAGTCAAACAGACCATAAAGCAGGGGATGCTTTAGGGCGGGGCTACACAGTGATTGACAGGTCTCTACCAGAGACGTATACGTTGTCACTACGTCACTCCTGCACAGTCCTAATATGGTCACTTCCATTCATTGGTTACCAAAAAAAACAACATGGCGATGTAATCCAAGACTGCGACATGTCTGTGACCCTGTCCTTTTAAAGCAACGCAACCCTGTTTCCTGAAAAGATATATACTCCTAATTTGTTGTTGCTGCCAGCATTGTTTTTTGCAACGTTTTGTGGAAGGGAGGTGCCTGGTGGGCTCACAAAGTGAAGGACTTTGGCGCCTGAGCGTGGTTAGGTTTAGGCAACAACAGCACTTTGGTATTCAGGGAAAGATTGTGGTTTTGGTTAAATGTTAATGAAGTTGGTTTTGTGCTTCAAGTCGCTGTTTCGCTTGTCAATACCAAACCAAAACCATGATGTGAAGAGAGATAAGAAAGAGAGGATATTGTAGAATCAAAAAAGATAGGAGTTGTCAGTGAACTTTTTGCAGATATTATGTGTGAACCTTTTGTGACTTCTTCAAGAAGTAGTATTAGAATAAATCCCTCAAGATAAAAAGCAATATTAGGTATGTGTTTATTTAGCCTCAGGCCTGTTTTTGATGTTTAAACAGGTCACATGTTGACAGCTTCAGATCAACAGGAGATATTTTAGGGACAGCGACAGTGCTATTTTAAACATCGGCACACAGTGTCAGATATGGTGTCACTAAGTATGAATCAAAGAGTACGAGCTCCTGTCTGCACTGATACAGTTAGAAGTACACGTTAAAAACGGTTAAGAATTCAGGTATTTCAGGTGACGAACCAGAACGCACTGCAGCCACAACACAGAGTAACTTTTGTGTTTTTATGTCCTCAAACACTGGAACGCGTCAGTGGCTAGTTTGCTGTGTTCATGTGTCCATGCATGTTGAAGGGGTTCGTATGGGGCTGTTGTACGAACAGAACTCTGGATATAAAGAGTTTGGATTGTTGTTTCCAACCAAAAATAAGTTTGTTTGTCCGCTCCAACGTGAGCCACAAACGTTAGCATGACTAGCCAACTAGCTTATGACCCACAGTCGGAGCTTCTTATTACGTACAAGACAAGAGTCGTTTCATATACAACATTATTTTGTAGGGTTATTGGTTGTGTTAAAAAAAAGCTTTGTTCACACGACTAACTCATCCATTCTGAAGTATTAATGAAGTGTATTTAAACCTTTGAAGGTGGACTTTGAAGACCATTTTGTCGCCATTGAATGTTTCCAGCAGTTTGACTCCTCCAGTCGACTAGACGGCACCTTTTGTCTCTTACAATTCTTCTTGTGTCTCCTGTACTTCGTGTGCCAATCCGTGCTTTACATTAAGAGAGTGCAGACGTGACGTTCTTGTGACAACAAAATAAGTGAAATATAATATCAAATCTAACTTAAACCCAAGACCACCCAGTAAACCCTGCACGCTCCCACCAGTTCAGAAGGAGTGGAGGTCAACACGTTCATCCTGCAGGTCTGTACTCGCTGCGTCTTATTTCCATTCTTGTATCTGTGATGCTGGGTGTGGTCATCAAAGTGGGATTACGGGCTTGTTTGTTTCCTTCAAAGCAGAACTGAATGAATGTGAACTGTGAGACGAGACTTTTATGTCTTCACTTCCTCTGGAAACCCAGCTGACTGTTGAGCAGCCAGAGAACGGAGTTCATATGCTGTCGAGTAACAAAGCTCTTTTGTTTGGGACTTTCCATATTCGCATCTGAGTGAAAGCATTTTACTCAAGTCACTTGTGGGTTTGAAGGATGTAAAAGATCTGAATGTGTCTTTGGAGATATTTTAGATATATTTTACGAGGTGGTCGGGTCAGATTCACTTTTACGGTAAAGCTGTCAGACAAAGCACAGCGGCCAAGTTCCTGTCTTCTACCTTAAAAACCCGGCGGTTTGATACCCGGTAGAGGCAGTTTCAGCTTGGTTGTGTACTCTAACATAAAGCTGCCAAGCGTTGATTTCTATATGTAATTTCTGTGATATTTACATTAGTCAGAAACATATGTTTGTGGTCTACATAGTTTAAAACTAAATATGATGCATCTTTAATGTTTGTTCTACATTATTTGAATATGTTAAAATAATGCAGTTTCTTCTTGTTGGGAGCCTCCTGAGTTTCTCAGTTAAAAGTCAATTTCTAAAGAGCAAAATTGACAATTTTAACTATGTTTTCTAAGATATTTCATTTGCGGTTCCATTACTCACTTAATCACAACTGCTTTGTAGGTTATATTATGTTAATGATGATAATAAACTGATAAGTAACGTCTGCACTGTAGCTGCTTAAGCTAACGTTGACCTCACATGCTGAGGACGAGCTGCTTCACAGTACAGCTGCTCGATTCATCCACATTTCAAGAAAATCAAACTCTTAATTTAGCCTGCTGCAATTTTCAAAATCGCAGGAGGAGTAATATTTGTTTCAGGTGAATGTGTGTATAAAATTCCATTAAAAATGAAATATCATGGTCCTGGCCTTCACGTTATATTTTACAGACTTAAGAAAACATCTTTGTTCAGTTCAGATCTCCACAAAAACCATAATCATGTTTTTCAATGAAAATGATCTTTCCCTCTGATGTTGCAAATCTTATCGCAATATCGGTAAAAATAATCATTTTTTCAAATTCGTTGAGCTGTACTTCACAGCCCTGAATCCTGGAGGTCCAGATTCTCTCTTTGTCAAAACCATCTCTGGTCGAGTGTGAATAGTGGAGACAGCGGCACACAGACGGCATATTAAAGAGGAACCAAAACCCAGAGTTCTGGCTCAAGTGCCTCTTCTCTGTGAACGTAAAATAAATGCCTCTAGAACGTGAAAACAAGCATCAACACTGGACCTGAATCTACCCACAACACTACTACATACCCATATATACTGTATATTACCGGCTAGAATAAACCAGAGTTATGTAACTTACTACAGCTTGTTAACACACTTTTAATCACGTAAGTCGCAATTTAAAGTCTTGGCGATTTTAACTGCTCCACTCTTTCTCAAACAACAATTTTGTAATAAAAATAATTTAATTATTCCGTCCCAGTCACACTGATGCCATTTGACCTGGTGGGGGGGGGGATTTGATTTAGAGGGAAAGCGTGAAACTCCAACCCCCCCAAAGCAACAATGGAGTTAGCAGTGACATGGATGAAAGACTGCAGTGACTTTCCACTTGGGAATATAAAAAAAAAGTAAAAAAAATCGATTGAATATCAAGCTGTCAGAGTAGCTCTTCCCCCTCGTAGGAACATGGGTTCTGGCATCAGACGGCTGTCTCAAAGCCAGAACATTTATCCCACGACCGGGACTGAAGAGGCCAAGGAGAGATCATCAAGCCTCAACTCGAACAACGGAGGGAATAAAAGAAGTCATGGAACTTGAAAGTGTTCCTCTCGGCTTTGTTTATAGCTGTGAAGCCGTTATCACACGTTGTGTGTTGGGTGTAACACAAAGCCTCTCAGGTCTGCTGTGACGCTGTGTCAGCGGAGGACAAACACGCCGCGGGGGTGTTTAATTCACTGCTGACATCGCTGGCT